CACAGACAGACACAGAGTAAGTGTTAAATAAATATTTCACAAAGGGATAGATAGTCCAAAACACCTACAAGGTCAGTGTCCAGTTGCAGAGGATTTAACTACCATAAGTTGTTTCTGTTGTCAGAATCACGTACAGTACACAGAAGCCTTAGGATCAACAGATGTGAACCCCGGTCCTACCTTGTGCCAATCTCTGATACACTTAAGCCTATTGCTGAAGTCACTGAGTATATTCAGTAAAAAGCCAAAAGGAAAGGCAGAATGTTGTAGAGGAAGTAAATGGGGAAAATAACAAAGAATAAAGTGTCTAAGGTGTGCCTGACACAAGCCATGGTCTTTGCTATTTTTTTTACTTTACTTTGCTTTTTTTTTACTTTACTTTTGCTTTGCTTTACTATGCATCAGAGAGCTGGACAATGACTAAGGATGACAGAATTGATGCCTCTGAGTTGTGGTGCTGGAGAAGAGTACTGCACATACCATGGATTGCCAAGAGAAATAACAGGTATGTCTTGGAAAGGGTGAAACGAAGCTGCTCCTTGGATGCACGGAATTTGAAGCTCTGTCTTACACACTTTGGGCATGTGACCAAAAGGGACCAGTCCTTGGAGGACACCGTGCTTGGAGGGCAGAGGGACAGAGCAGGAGAGGAAGCACCTGGATGAAATAAACAGACACAGTGACTGGGTAACAAGGGTAGGTGTGTTGCAAACAATGAAACTGGCTCAGGATAGGGTAGGATACACAACTATTGTACTACTGACTCGATGGCACATAATAACAACAAGAAGGTATTAAAAAATGCTCTCAAAAAAAAATTAAAAAAAAAATGCTTTCTACCACAGAGAGCAGGGTTTAGGGGCTACATGATAAATGCCTCCTAATTGGTCTCTCACTGTTTGGTCAAGATTATTTTCTTATTTTCTACATCCTGATATAGATTAAATCGTATCCTGCTCAAATACATGTCAACTTGGCTAAGTCATGATTCTCACTGTAACATAAAGATTCCCCATGTTGTGATATTATCTAATTATCCTATGTGTTATAAAAATCCTAACCTCTATGATAATAATGCAACAGCATTAAAGGTCGTTATGCTAAAGAGGTAGGGAATAAACTACAGGATTAGAGTGTGCTGTGAGTCAATCTCTTTTGTGATATAAAGAGATGAAATAAGAAAGCAGACATCAGAGGGACCACCTACCACAAGCACTTGGGAGTTGAGCACATCCTTTACCTGGGACTCTTGCTAGGAACCTCCCAAACCAGGCAACACAGCAAGAGCGCTTTCCCTAGAGCAGGCACTCTGAGTTTTGATTTTTAGCCTCACAAATGGTGAGAAAATGACTTTTTGTTTGTTAAAGCCATCCTTTTGGCATTTCTCTAACAGCAAGACTAGATAACTGCAACACCTCAGAGGAAACAACAACGCTCAAAGCCTCTTTAGTCTCTCTGCACACCTTTCTAAGCACATGACTTTGGAAGCACAGAAAGAAGTCATTTGACCCTTGAGTTACCCAGAAGCTCAGGACTGGATCTCAAACAGGAGCCTCGTGCGAAGCCACATTCCACTCTTCCTGTTCCAGAAATAACTGAGGCCCACAACCTATCTCTAGAGTAGCACACAGGGGCTGGTGTTGCTGCTCCAGAAGCTGTGCCTCTCTCCCACAGTTCAAATCCACCCACAGCTCCAAGGAGAAGGATGGATAATCTCCTCACACCAATTTCCAGCCTCTGAAAACCCACTGGAGGGTCAGCCCAGAGTCGGTTCCCACTCAGCAATGACACTCTCACTGACTTACCAGAATCGCTCTTATTTTATGGCGCGTTTAGCACAAAAGAGGAGGAGTTTGGGGCTTTTGCTTATTCTGTTTTGTTATTTAGCCAAATTAGCAGAAGCAGCAAAAATGGAACTGCAGAATGTTAGAGCTAAACAGGGTATAGAAAAAAAAAAGAACAAAATACCTTGCATTTTAAAATACAATTTAAAAATATTCAAAACAACTATGAGATATCATCTCACCCCAGTAAGAATAGCAAAATTTAACAGAACAGCAAACAACAAATGCTGGCGAGGTTGTGGAGAAACTGGAACCTTATTCACTGCTGGTGGAAGTGTGAAATGGTGCAACCACTGTGGAAGGCTGTATGGCGCTTTCTCAAAAAGTTGCAAATAGAGATACCATTTTACCCAGTAATTCCACTACTGGGAATATACCCTACAGGGGCCATAACCGACATCCAAGCAGATATATGCACACCCATGTTTATCACAGCTTTGTTCACAATAGCAAGGAGTTGGAAACAACCCAGTGCCAATCAACAAACAAATGGATAGAGAAGCTGTAGTATATTCACACAATGTAATACCATGCTGCATTGAAAAACAAGGATCTCATGCAATATTACTCAAAATGGGTGAGCCTGGAGGACATTATGCTGAGTAAAGTATCTCAGCCACAAAGGGACAAATACTGCATACTGCCACTGTTGTAGAATGGGACTGACATCAGGGTTGGGGTAAGACAGAAAAGCTGGATAAATTACGAATACTACATTGAAACAGATGAGGGAGAGAACAATTTAAAAGTGATATATGATAGGGTATTATGGTTATCACAAGAGTCCAGAATTAAGGTTGCATAGTGGGGCGGTGGGGGGATTATATACCTGTGAAAGAATTTTTCTTTACTTTTCAAAGAGAGGAGTGAACTGGGGTGTGAAAGACTGGGCAGGGTGAAAAGTGCAACCATGAATGAATGGAAATCCAAAATCTCTGTAAATGTTCATTAAAATTAACAAAATAAAAT